GCAGCTCCTCTGCCCCATGAGGAATCGGCAGCAGCCCACAGAGAACAAGAGTGCAGCCAGGCCCACCTGTGGGCTCCCAGCAGCCCTTCCTCCTGCTGAATTCTCAAAAGCAACTTGCTTCATTTTTCATAATCTGAAAACCCCAGTTTCCAGGGAGAACAGCTTTCAAAATTCAGCCAGTGGGTCACAGCTTGGTACACACACCTATGGCCAACTTTGCCTGCTGTGGCCGGTGCTTCCTGACCCAACGTGCCCCACTTAGCCATCCTGGAGTCGGCACAGTGTCTGGAGCAGAGGGCATTGGAGCACCAGGACTGCACCTTCCCATGGAGGGCAGAGCAACTAAATCCCCTCTGATTGTCTGTGCTGGGAACCTGTGCCCCGCAAATGTTTACAAAGGCCACCAGGGGAGCTGATGCGAAGCCGCCGTCCACCCTGGCTGGTCCTGCATGGCCCTTATATCCAGTCTTTCTGTGGACCTATTGTCATTAAAGTAGCCGAAGCTGCCACCTCCAACCCCTGGCAGCTAGTTGCATCTGGTTCTTGGCTAGGGTCATGGTTTGAGTCCAAAGTGTCCCCCAAAAGGTGCATGTGCTCAAAAAATGGGCTTTCAGGAGCTGGTTAGATCTCAGGGCACAACACCCATCCACAGATTAGCTCTTCCACAGCTCACACAGCTACTGAGCAAGGCAGGTGAGGAGTCACGTGGGATCCAGCAGGAGGAAGTGGCCCTGGGAACGCACTCAGGACTGTGTGTCCTGTCCCCAGACCCTTCCCAGGGGACAAGGAACTCTCCCTGACTAGGAGGCCTTCAGGACGATCTCAGGCTTCTCGATCCTTCTCAGTGCACCAACCCTGCAGCCGCCGGACCTGCACTGTCAACCTGCATAGAAGCAGGGGTCAGTGTAACACTTCCCGGTCAGCCACAGCACCTGGGCCAGCTTCCCTGTGGCTGGGACACAACACCCACCACCCACAAGCTACAGGAAGATGGACCTGCTGTGGTTTGGGGATACGGTCCATGGCCAGCTGCCTCCAAAGCAGGAACCCCATGGCATGAGGCACTGTGAAGGAAAAACCTCCTAGATCACGGTAGCCAGGAAACAGAGCACAGGGGAAGAAAAGCAGGCACCGAGGTCATGCCCCTGTCACCCAGCTAGGCACACTGGAAGTGCTTTCCCAGTCTCTGCAGCCAAGCAGGTTGACGGTACACACAAACCACCACTCCCGGCCCACAGCTGTGGCCTGCAGCTGCCTCTGGCAGACCTGGTTGGTGCACGGCTGCCTGGAGTGAGAAGATGCCCCATCCGCCCTGCACTGCCTGGGGTGAGCCGTGGCCTGAGTCCCACCTGTTGCAAAACCCTGTCTCAAAAAACCAAACCAAACCAAAATAAAGTGTGCCTGTAGACTTTTCTCCATATAGTTTCTTAGCACAAAGCATTCACATTGATGGCATTTTAGGAAATCAAGGCCAAGTGTGGTGGCGCACACCTGTAATCCCAGCACTCAGGAAGCTGAGGCAGGAGGGTCACCAAGTATTTGAGGCTAGTTTGGGCTACATATCAAGATTCTGCCTCAAAAGACATAAAAGAAGAAATCAGGAGGTGACTGCTATTGGGTATAAGGCCAGAGATGACTGAAGTTAAAGACGAAATGAGAAATCCATATGCAGATACTACGCTCTTTTCTAAAGGGATCTGAGTGAGCACCCAAAGGTCCTGGAAGCAGGACCTGTGCCACAGCAGATGGCTGCCCACAATGCATAAAACTGACAAACTGCATGTACGGTGATGAGACCTCACAGACTTGGAGGATACCAGGCGATAGACTCGGGGCCATGCAATAGACGGCGTCCAAGCGACACGCAGCCAGATATACTAAGGTGGCACAGAGGGAACACTCCCTGGGCTGGCAGCGAGGGGCAATGGGTGGCAGAGCCAAGCTGCTGAGCACAAGAGGGAGAGGGCCAGGTGCAGCACAAGGAAAGCAGAGCTCGGAGCCAGGAGCATTCTGGGAGACTGAGGCAAGAGGGTTACAAGTTCAAGCCCAGCCTGGGCAACTGAGCAAGATCCTGCCTCAAAATAAAAGGAGTGGGCATACAGCTCCGTGCGAAGGTCCTGGGTTCAGCTCCCACTTCCCTATGACAACAACAGAAAAGGAGAGCAGCGAAACAGAGACAGACCCTGGGGACAGAGGGCCCAGCAGCCCTCCCCACGTGCAGGCCGGTGAGGCCATGGCCCTACACCTGTCCAGGTGACTCCCATCCTGACACGGGGATGCCCCCAGTGAGCAGGGCTGCCTGACTGGCTCGTCCTGTGTGACTGAGGTTGAGACAGCAGGCCAGGACGGGGAGGGCTCTCAGGGCCCACGAGCACTGAGCTCCGGTCTCCTCCAGCCCTGCTCTCACTGGCTTTAAGCTGGGCTCCACATCTGCTCCCTGCAGCTGCTGCCCAGAACGCCTAGCCTGGTCCCAGTCCTGGGGTGCTGAGCCCCTTCACATGTGCATCCAGCCCAGCACCAAGGGGCAGGAGAGGCCAAGACCTCGAGCATCTCTGGCTGAGGGTGGGACGCGCTGACCCTGACCACACTGTGCAGGACCTGTGCCACTGCCTCTTGCAGAACACGGGACCCCAGCCTTGACAGCAAAGGCAGCCTGTGAGCAAAGGCTTGGGCCAATGAGACCCAATGGGAGGTGGGCATCCACCTCCACACTTAGGGCCTTTAACCCACAGGGCTAGGGTGGCGGATTGGACATAGGCTGGGAGATAGTACACTGCGGCCTGAAGCAAAGGTCCCAGAGGCCACCAGGCCTGGGCTCCTGAGAGCCCTGGGACCACTGCTGCTTGGGGCTTTGCCCCTGGCACAAAAGAGAGGTAAAACATCACTTCCGGCCACCAGGGACTACAAAACTAAGACATCACTTCACCCAGGGACTGTGGCCCCGACCAGGGCAAGAGTCTCAGCAGAAGCCAGCCTCGCCCCTGGGTGCCCAGGAGGAAACTCCCCTGGCATGGGTTTTCCCAGCTCAGCAGCTGCCACATGAGATCACCCCACGGAGAGTGTCGCTGGTCACGTCCGCAGGCCAAAAACACACAGCCCAAGAGCACTGAAGTTTAACTTGCTTCTCTGGCTCACTCATTCGGCATGCACACAGCCCTGCTCAGGTGTGGACACCTGGCCCATCCTGCCTCACCGGCTGAAACCCGACTCCCAGGGGCATCGTCAGGATTGGGAGCCCCAGGAGATGCCATCAGTATTAGTGCCCTTGTAAAAGGGACCCCCGAGCTTTCTGCCCTGCAAGCACACAGCAAGAAAGAAGGCCACCACGCCCAGGCGAGGGGCTGTGGGGGTGTAGACGTGGTAGCCTCTGAGCCTCCTGTGTGTAGAAGGTGTTGGGGGCATGGGACATGGTCCTATCAGCAGTTTCATTCCTGGTGGTATTGGAGGAGGGGCCAGCTGAAGGTGGTCATGTGGTGTGACCCAGAAGACTGGGTTCTGGTCCCGGCTCCAGCCTTCTCTCTGCTTCCTGGATGTCGAGGCCATAGCAGCCAGCTCTCCCTGGCCACTGGCCACTGGCCACTGCCCTGTGCCTCACAGCCAGCCGACCCTGCCCCAGGAAGTGGTGCATGCTAGGTCCTCTGGCCAGCAAGGGGAAGTGGTTAAGACAAGAACACAGAACACCAGAACAGTCTACCTGGGACTTCCCGCCTCCAGTTCCTGCTGTCCCAGCCACCCTGCTGTGCCATCTCGATAGCAAGCCAGGTTTAGTGGTGCATACCAGTTTTTCCAGCACTGAGAGGCTGAGGCAGGAGAACTGCCAGGTCTGAGGCATCTGGGGCAACTCAGAGAAACCCCAGCTCAAAATACCAAGTAGGCAAGGTCAGGATGCAGCTGACAGTGCAGCCCTGGGCTGAAGCACCGGTACTGCAGGAGAGGAGAGGAGAGACGGAGAGGGACCAGAAGATCTTTCCTGTGCTTCCTCCTAAGTTCTGAACTCCCTGGCTGTACCGCTGGCTGCACTGTAGCTCTGGGAAGTGAGGCCGTAATGACAGTGGCTGGGCTTCCAGGATGATCTGGCCGGAGGCAGCCCTGTCACTCAGGGCCCAGGACAGGGCCGCTGGCAGTGACCCCTCCTCTCGTGTCACCTGCACCTTCACACCCTTGAGTTTCGGGCACCAGTATCCATGAGTCCTCGAGTTCAACGTCACCCCCAGGGCAGGCACAAGCACACACCTCCCCAGCACACGCAGAGGAGACCATGGTGCTGCAGGGCATGTGGTCAGGGTCCCTCCAGAATCATGGGCAGTTCTACAAGGTGTTGCTCCCCAAAATTTCTTCTGTCCCGAGGGAACCAAACAGACAAAACCCCTGATGCACCCTTGAAAAGGTTCCAGAGCTTAGGACACACTGCAAAGCTTAGGAGACCCCAGGAACTTGAACATCTGTCTCTGAGCCACCCCAGAGGGCCACGGGCCAGCACCCTTCTCCGTCCTTTGGGCCAATCGAAATCAGAACTGTGCATTTACCGGGCGAATGGGAACGCTCACGACAGCAGGAGCCCAGCAACGTGGCTGCAGAGCCAGCCCCAAACAAGGGAGCAGTGGGGCTGGGGATTTAGCTCAGCGGCATAAGAACCTGCTGTGTTCGATCCCCGGTACCGATAAAAAAAAAAAAAAAAAAAACAAGGGAGCAGAAACACAGACATGGGCCCACAGCCCACAGCCCAAGCACTTGGGGATAGCACATGAGCACAGCCCCAGGCTCCTGGATGTGATCCCACCGGCCAGCCAGCCACCCATGATGGCTTGGGCAAAGCTCCCATTTAAATCCACCAAGCCTACCTGGGCACAACGGTGTACACCTGTAACACCACAATTCCAGGAGGCTGAGGCAGGAGGATCAAAAGTTTAAACCCAGCCTGCACTATTCAGTTAACTTGGCTAGGTCATGCCTCGAGGCAGAAAATAAGAGTTGTTGGGGACATAGCCAGAAACACCCACCTTCGCCGTCCGAGCCCAGGTTCTCGTAGGAGTCCCAGCGGATGAGTGGATCTGAGGTGTTGAAGTCCACAATAACACTGTGGTCATTGTGCAGGTGCTCGGAGCCTGGGGGACACAGTGGGGTGTCAGTCCAGCGATGCCCAGCACCCCTCCTGCAGCCCTGGGAGGAAAGCCCCGGCTCACAACTTTAGGGTGAAGGCAAACCCTCTGAGCTTCCTCCCTCGGCCTTCCTCCCTCGGCCCTGTCCCCCGTGGGGCCAGGAGGGGGACAGTGCCCTTCCCGCACAGTGCCGACCAGGCTCTGAGTGCGAGTTGTGTGAAACCTTCATGTGGCACAGGGCCCAGTTCTCATTATGTTTATGCTAAAGGAGAAAAAGCTCTGCAGAGCTTAGATCCCCCCAGGGACAACGTGCAGTGAAGTAGCACGCTGCCCAGCAGAGGGAGGACGGCACACAGGGACACTAATGAGGTCTCTGCCATCCTTGGTGGACCAGCCCGGGGCCCGCTGTGCCATCCCTGTTTCGTTTTAAGGAGCCTCCCAGAGCGTTAGGACAAGTGTGCACCACCCACCCAGCCAGTTCTAGCTGTGTCCTTCATGTCTCCAAGCCACCTCCTCCCTGCTGCCCAATGTCCTCTTTTTTTAAAAAAAAATCTCAGTTACACAAGTTTCCAGGTAGCCCAGAGGTAGAGACTGTACCCAGCAGCCCAACCAGCTGCCCACCTGGGATCTTCTCTGGCGTGGCCGAGAACACCAGCTCCACCTTCCCAGAGTCAGGGAATCGGTCATCTGGAAGGGAAACCACGATGGAACAGGCTGGTCCATCAACCCGCAGGGATGCCTGCCGCACCCCAGGGACCTCAGCCACACTGTTCCAGGGCCTTCCCTCCCAACTGACTGCCATGTTTCCTTAGGTCCACCTCAGTGGGGTCAGCAGTCTTAGGAGGGGTGGGGACCAAAGACACCATCCTCACCGCTGCAGGCGCCATCCAGCTCCTCCTTCCCCAGCACCAGCGTGTAGCCCTGCACAGAGCCCGTGTGGAACTGCAGGCGGAACACAGCATCGCGGGTGGCGGAGCGGTACTTCTTGTGGTAGCATTTCACCTGCCGGAGTGGGAGGGAGGGACAGGGGACAGCTGAGCCACAAGAGTCGAGGGCCGGGGACCTTGCAGGGCCCACACAGGGCAGCGCGACTGGGCGCTGACCCGGAATCTCAGCCTTGGACGTGGGTGGGCAGGGCACCATGTGAGTGTCTAGCAGCTGGAGTCTCGGAGGTCACCCTGACCTTTCAGAGGACATCTGAAGAAAGAAACCCAGACGTCTCTTCCCAGGTTTGACACTTGAGGGCGACACGGGTGTTTTCCAGGCCTCCAGGCTCCACCAGTGGCACCCAGTTGGCACAACAGGAAGTGGCCATCGTAACTCTGCCATGTCCTGCATGAGGCAGAGGCAGCAGGACAGAGCAGGACGGAGGAAGGAGACATGACCCAAGGCCGGGACAGAGACAGACACAGAGATGGACAGAGGAGCACTGATGCCAGTGCCCGTCACCCGGGTGTCCAAGAGGCTGTGGTTTCCAGGGGAGCCTTCCCGGTCACGTCACTGGAATCTGAACTCAGGCTGCAAGGAGCCAGCTCCAGGGGTTCCCAGGGCATGGCATGAGTTGCCCAGCAGCTGTGCCCATGAGCCTGGTTAAGGCATCACCTGGGGCACTGGCCAGGGCGGGACCCAGAGTGTCCTGTCCAACATGTGACACATGTGGGGTCTCTGACCAGGTCTCACTCACACAGCACCCTCTGGGGACCGAAGGTGGGGAGGGGGGCCACTGTTTCTGATGTCAGACGGCTTTAAACATCTCACACAGCCCGGCTTGGGGACACACACCTATAAACCCAGCACTGGGGGAGGCTGAGGCAGGAGCATGACAAATTCAAAGCCAGCCTGAGCAATGTGGCAAGCCATTCCTTGTCTCAGAACGGACCTTTTAAAATAAAAAAAAGGACCAAGGATGTAGCTCAGTGCAAAGGACCTGACTTAATCCCTAGTACCGCCAAAAAAAAAATCTGTTTGAGAAGTAGTAGCAGCAGTAGCAGCAGCTGACAGGTGAAGTGCTGACGGGTGACACAGGACAGTGTGCAGGTGACATCTCTATCACCCAGGCAGCAGAGAAACCTTCCTGCAATCAGGAAGGAAAAGAAATCCCACCTAGAAGACTACACAGGAGTCGCTGAACACTGCGATCCCTCAGGCAGACACAGACTGTACTAGGCCAACAAAAACATGAAAGTAAGCCTCTGGGGGAGCACTTTACACCCCCGAGGGCTACGGGACAGGGCCCAGGAATGTACACCCCGCCCCTAACTGCAGTCAGCAGAGGAAGGAGGAGGGGGGATAAGGAAGTAGGGGTGGGGAGGGAGAGGGGGATGAGGAAGGGGGGATAGGAGGGAGGAGTGGGGGATAGGAGGCAGGGTGGTCCCTGCACTGGCCCTGCCCGCCTGACTACAGTCAGAGCTGGGCCCTCTCTGATGACCTGATGCCCTCAGATGCCAGCAGGTGATTTCAAGGATGACAGTGCCAGGATGACAGCGTGGCCCTCCCTGTCCCCAGAACCCAGGCCGCCCATGCCGTGTGTACTCTCACAGCCCGGGTTTTGCAGAAGCACTGACTCATCAGCCAGGAATCTGGCTGGGCCCAGGCAGCTCTCCAGAGGAGGGAAGAGGCCAAGCATGAGGCTGGCCCCAACAGCCCCAGGGCCAGCTCCCAGACGCCCCTCAGCACCCAAGGCCACCCAATTCCACGGGACTCAGCGCAAGGCCTCAGGCTCTCCTGGGCTCAGCGAGGCAGACAGCAGCAGCTCAGTGCTGGGTGGGCCCTGCAGGTAGGCTCACATTCCAGCTGCCCAGCAAACTGCCCCTCACCCCTCCCACACGACCAGCTTTAATGGGAACCTGAAAACACAGGATCCTCCCAGCCTTGGACTCCCGGCTAGCTGACCTCGAGGGGAAACCAGCCCCCCAAAAGGATGCCACATGTGTCCGCAGGGCTGCAGGGTGCCCACCATCGAGTCCCCCTCTCAGCAGCTAGGGACCAGCACTGAGCCTTTCTTACCCCTTAGCAGGACAGAGCGACAGTGAGGTCTCCTACAGAGCCGCGCTCCCCACCCCCCAGGCCCTCGGGCTACACCACCCTTCTGGTGGTGTTCCGATGTTCTCAGGACAAGCTTTTCCTGGGCCCCTCACCTCCAAGGGTCTGCAGCCCGGTGCACCAGCCCCAGCGTTCTGGCATGAAAAACTGCAATTTCCTGGAGAAACTGCACACCGCACAACTGCAGTGCCCGCCCGGGGCTAACACCTTGTACGGCCGGAGACCCAGGCTGCCAGGCCGTGTAGGATTTCACGTCCTGTGTGCGACACAGTGTGCTGGTACCAACACCACCCTCAGTGTTCTGTTAAACAGACTTCACGAGCACTGCAGACAAACCCAGAGCAAACCCAGCTACCCACGGTGACTTCCGTCTCTACCAGCAGCCAGTCCCCTGCGCCCGCCAGTGCCACATCCCCATCTACCACCCGTGGGCAGAAAACATTTGCACAAACGTGGTATCTGCTAGAAATATGTGAAGCCTTTTCTCCTCCTCATTATTCTCCAAACAATAGAGAACAACGCGGTTTTTGTTTTGCTATCTTAGCAGTGCTGGGCATTAATCCTAGAGCCTTTGCACTGAGCTGTTCTTTATCTTTCATTTTGAGACCGGGTCTTGCTGGTTCACTACATTACACAGACTGAGCCTCACGCACAGCCCACAGAGGTTTTTAAATCCAAGAAGGGCATAAGCACGTGCACACACCGTGCAAATGCGAGGTCATCTAACGTGGCTCCTGGGGACCCTGGGGTTTGGGTGGCTACAGGGCTGCTGAAGCTGAGCTCAGGGCCCGCTGAGAGGGGGCTGCCTCTGTCACTTACAGGGAGTGAGCTGCCCCAGGCCCAATGCTTGGGACTGGATAATACTTCCTGGAGGTGGGAAGGGTTCCCCCTCTCTCTGCCTAAGGACCCGGAGGACGGATCGACCTCGTTGGCCACTCACCCACCTGCATAACTGCCGAGCTCAGCGCAGTCAGGAGGTCCCGAATGGAAACAGCAGAAATGGGCCCAGACCTCTGCGGGAAGACTCAGAGGCTATAACCTGGCTTTTGGGGGTCACTGCGACCACCCCTTGGATGCTGGCCCTTCTGTTGGTGAACTTGGTTCCTGCCAGCTTTGTTCCCAGGCCCCATGAAGAAGGACCTGGGAATCTCCACACAAAGCAGACATCAGCCAGCATCAGGGAGGACGGGCCAGCAGGGAGGACGGGCCAGCAGGGAGGCCAGGACACTTTCGGAAGGAGCTGGGGAGGGACAGGGCCAAGCCGAGAGGTGAATTTCTACCCTGTTGAGGCCTGGGCACAGAGCTCGAGATGCCCACCCTGCGCTCTCTCCTGGGGACCTTCCCAAGCCTGGGGTCCTGCCAAGGCCTTCCTGGAAATCGAAACTGCTGCTTACTTGAGCTCTGCCCAGGCAGGGTCTCTAAGTCTCTTCCACAGGTGAGACCGGTAGGGGGCCGAGCTCCGCTGTGGGTAGACATCAAGCCATCCTAGGCTGAAGGGGGTGGGTGGGTGGATGGAGGGCAGGCAGTGGGGTATCTGGGTCCCCTGAGGGTGAGCTGGGGCTCCGGAGGAGGAGCTGTGAGGACTCCGCATTTTCACACCTCTGGACCCCAATACAGTGCCAATACAGTGCAAGGGGCGCATCCCCCCAGGGAGCCCTGCAGGCAGGTGCACACCTGCTTTGGTTTCTGACCAGAGGCTGACCGAGGCTGCGTCCTGGCAGAACCAACAGCACCAGGCCACTGAGTACAACGCAAACTTCTATGCCAGGATCAGTCCCTGGGCCACCATTGCCCGGGCTTCCTACCCTCGATGGCCACTATCTCTGCTCTACCGTGAAGCTGTTGCCCACTGACTAGCTGGACACCAAGGGTAAGGTCCACACACGCCATGTACCCAGTGCTGCATCCCTGGGACCACTGAGACCAGCATGGCCAGGTCCACACACGCCTCAGGTTCCACCTGCTGTGTCACCCTGTCCAGGCCGCCAGCTGTAGGCAGCTATTCCCTCAGGAATGCCGGTGACCAACCAAGTCTGAAGGCACCCGGCCAGCAGCAGGCGGAGGGGCCCAGATGCCATCTGGAGATGAGGGCAAGGACAAGTTAGCTGGGACCCCGGCTTAAGCCTCAGCACTGGTTCAATTCTCAGCACTGCAAAAACAGATTTTAAAAGATAGGACTGGCTGATCAAATGAACCCCAGACAAGGTCCTCAGAAGGAAACGAGCTCAGAGTTGATGCTGAGAGGGACAACCTTGTGACCAAGCTGGACAGAGAGGCCCTGGGAGAAAGCAGCTTGGCCAATACCTGGACCTTGAACCTCCAGCTTTCAGAACACCGCAAGAGAAGAACCCTGCAACCTGCAGCACGAGCCCCGCAGTGCTGCACTGAGGTCAGCCATCCTCCTGGGTTTCTAACAAGCTAAGCCCTGAGCTAATCACTTTTGCAACCAGAGCAAGGAAAACTTAGCCTCTGTGATGGAAAATCACCCTCCTCAGCCGCCACCCCCGCCACCACCTCCCACCTGATAACGCTGCAGAAATAACCACGGAGAGGACTGAGCCGCCAGCAAACAGGAAGCATGGGTCAAGGCGAAGGCACCTAAAATATCCTGTGTGCGGGAGGAGAAGGGGACAGGAAGGAAACATCACAGCAGAAGCCACTGTCTCTCCCAAGGGGTCAAGAATCTTCCCTGGCCAATAGGACTCACAGGAAGGAATCCTTGGAGACAAGGGGACCCACGACAGGAAGCAGGCTCCTCCAGACCCCAGCTGAACTCCACATCCAGTGCCAGCCTACTCAGCCTCTGGTTCTCACTTCTTTCTATCTTTCTTTTTGCAAATCAAGGAGCTGAACCCAGGACCTTTGCACTGAGCTACAGCCCCAACTCAGTTTTATTTGTATTTTGAGAAAGGATCTTGCTGAGTTGCTAATTTGCCCTTGCTGGGCTTCAACTTGGGAGCCTCCTGACTCAGTCTCTCCAGATGCTGGGATTACAGGTATGCACCATCATGTCCAGCTGCTCCCCTGTTTTTCCAGCTCATCTGTAGCTCAGGGTGAATGAAGGTCCTGGGTTCAAGGATCAGCACCAGAAATACATAGAAGAATAAATAAATAAAGTCTAAATCAGAAGCAAATACAGAGCTCAGGCAAGCAGGGGGACAGCGGCCTGGAGATGACCAGTAAGAGGGAGAAGTCCTGCTGACCAGCAAGGACAAGGTCACTACAGCCAGGGGCAGGGGCATCCCTGAGCCAGGAGGGGCTGGGCATGAACTGTCCTTTCACGAAACCTGCGTAAGAAACAGAGAAGCGAGCAGGAGTGGGCACACAAAGGCCCAGAGGGTGTCCAGCAGGACAGGGGAGGGGGACAAGGGTGACTGCAGGTTTGGGGTGAAATCCTCACCCACAGCAACAACACCAGGAGGAGGGATGAGGGACGTATCCAGCCAGAGGTTGGGGCTTCATGACAGGGACGGAAACTCAGGTGAAAGGGACCAGGGCTACTGCACACTTTGTATCTCATGGGAATTAAGAGAGGGAACCTCACCAGTACCAACTGGACCTGTCCACACCTGGACCCTGGACTTCCAGCCTCCACAACCATGAGGAATGAATGTCTATGGCTCGGATGCCCCCGGCCCACTGTGTTCTGTAAAGGTGGCCTCAGCAGACTAAGCCAGTCTTCTGCTCTGACCCCTGCTCTGTTTCCCAGCTGCCTTGAACTGAGAAGCTCTGCCCCACAAACCCTCCAGCCATGAGGCTCCTGCCCTGCACCTGCTGACCATGGACTGAGTGCCCGGAAACTGCGACCTAAACCAAACCATTTTCTCTTTTCATTCGTGAGCACTGGGTACTGGGTCCTCTGATGGCAAATCTGACAACACAGTGTCCTTTCCAACAAACGCCCACACTCGCATGGTGCCAGTCTCTCCAGCCCTGGGCGGGGCCCGGCAGGCAGGGCCACCCGACTCCTGCTCCAGAAAACGCCTGTGTTCCCCTGCTCCTGGTGTGAGAGCCAGCACTGCTTGGTGTCCTCCTGTTCTTTGGGGTGCTGCATCCCAGCCCCCCACAGCCTCCCCTTTGGGAACATCAGCAGGAAGTGACACCCAGAGCCCCCAGGCCCCATCATGCCACAGGATGGGCCCCCATGAACCCAGGTGCTGGAAAGGGGTACCCACAGGGTGTGGAGCCCACACAGAAGGCCTTGCTCCCCGTAGGTCTCCAAGGGTGCCTCCCTGTGCAGGGCCTCAGCTTAGCACTAAGTGAACCCCAAGTTTGGGATGGAAATGAAATTTCCAGACACTGCAAATAACTGTGGATGCAGACTTGCTGGAAAGGGCACAGCAGCTGCGGGTCCTACAGGGACCTGGCATTTTAGGAGCTGCTTTTCCGCTGCATGGCGCTCGGCAGCAGCCTCTGCTGCATTTGCGACCCCATCTCATAGAGACCCTCAGGAAAGAGGATTCCAGAGCTGCTGCCAAAAGCAGCGAGGACAAAGGGATCAGTGCGTTCAGAGGTAGGAGGATTTGTGGCAAAGCGTCCTTTATGGTCACGATTCTTCAAACTTCACACATTCGCTGTATTTTGATCACACTTTGTAAGGGAAACAGCCGAGGGCCACAACACTGGAGGACAGGGAGTGGATTCTGCATACTTGGCCAGCATCACACTCCTCTGAGGGCAATCACAGGGCCTCCAAAGCTCCCAGACACCCCACCAGGCAGGCGCCAGGTCCAGGTTGGCTCCTGAACACACTGCCTTGCCTGTTCTGGACCCCTCAGCGACTCAGTGACAGCCATGTCCCGTCACTCCTAATGCCAGGACCCCTAGGTAAGATAAGAGGGACGGCAGACCCAACCCACAGAAGTGGTGGTCCAGAGCCACAGCCCCTCTGCCAAGTGACCCAGGGGTCTGGAGACCCAGCCCACCATACCCTCGGGACAGAGAAAAGCAGCTGGGCCAGTCTGTGTCCCCTCCTCACCTATAAGCTGGGACATCCCACTTCCGGGGCCTCTGTCCTAGAGCGGCAGAAGGGAGAGGCGGGGAGACAGGGTGGGACCTCTGGTCCTCTGCCCACAACCGTGGTGAGGATGGAGATTTTGCACACAGCCGAGCACGAAGCCTCACAGTGTGTGAACCCTGCACTGTCCGCCTGGCCCAGGCCTTCTCCCCTGCAGAGTTCATCCCAGGAGCGGGACCCAGGACCCCTGGCTCCACTCCCAGCCTTTTTGATTTTTTGAGACAGGGTCTCACTAAGTCACTACATTACCCAGACTGACAATGAATTTGTGGTCTGCCTGCTTCAGACTCCCACAATGATGGGATTCTTAGAATGCACCACCATGCTGGGCTTGTGTTGATTTTTCATTAAATTTTGTAGTCAGACAACTAACCAAATGCCTTACGTTCAAAGATAGCTTCCATTTTTCCTACAATTTGTTTCTGGTTTTTTTGTTTTGTTTTGTTTCCACAGGGAACCAGCCTTCCCTTTGGTCATTTTTACTGGGACAGCAGGCACAGTGGCTGCCAGCACTCACCATGATATCCCCCTTCAGCAGCTGGGCTGGCTCTATGGCAATGCAGATCCTGTTCGGGCTGTCGGGGCCAATGTTGCTTTGGAAAAAGCAAAAGGGAGACCATAACAATGATGTTACACACGGGACATATGTTAAAAAACACACATGTAAACTGAAAACTCAGGACACCGCACAAGAAGTTCCAACGGCTCTGCATCCCATTTCTGAAAATGTGCTCTGTGCAAATGTGCCAGTACGCTTGCCGGCCCGAAGGCCCCAGGTGGCCTGACCCACCCCACCCCACCCCTGCCTCTCCAGGAGAGGCGGGAAGGCCAGGCCACTTACTAGATCCCTGACGTGTACACGGGCTGCATGGCCTGGTAGAGCTTCAGGAAGGGCCGGCAAGCTGCAAGAGACACAGTGGTCGTGAGCATGGGCGTCATAGCACACAGGATGCCACCCACCTGAAGGCGGGGACAGTGGCAGCCACCACGAGCTGGCAGAGGTGGGAATCCCGTCCTGCCTGGTGCCGCCCAGGCCCTGGAGCTGCAGGGCGACTTGGCTGAACCTTTCCCAGGGCCACAGGGCTGAGAGCAGGGCCAGGGTCTCAGTAGCCATGCATGGCTCAGAAAAAGCCATTTGGTTTTTATGTTAGGCTCGTTCATCCCTTCATTCTTTCATTCATGGTGACATTGGGTGTAATACCTTCCCATGAAGCTAATCCTGGGCCCTTTTTTATTTTTTATTTTGGGCCAGGCTCTCCCAAAATGCCTCAGTTGGGCCCGATCTCAGCAATCTTCCTGCCTCAGTCTCCCAGAGTCCTGGGATTACAGTCGTGTACCCCCCACTACGCCCAGCAGGATCATTTGAAAGAGTAGAAGCCATTGGGACCCCTGCGGGGGGAGGACACTCCCACGCTGGCCCCCAGGCAACTGTGCCACTGACCACAGGGCTACAGGGCCCAGCCAGTGACAGTCTTCCAGAGTCCATACCAGGGACATGGAGTGTCTGTGACTCTCACCTCCCAGCCACCTGTCCTTGGCCTGCTCAACAGTGTGGCGCAGAACCACATAGCTGGGGCTCTGTGTGCACACAGAGGCTGCAAGGGTGAGCAGGGGGCCCAGGTACAGCCCTGAGCATCTTGCAAGGGGGTGGGGCAGGGGAGGGAAGGGGAAGGATGGAGTGGAGGGGAGGAGAGGGGAGGGGCACCCAAGTTCAGTTGAGCAGGATCTGCCCCATGCAGAAACCGTCCTGCCATGACCCACCTCCACCAGTGTCAAAGTTTGGGATGCCGTGCAGCACAACATGGTGCAGGAAGAGGGGTGCACCGTTCATCTTCACGGAGCCCCGCAGCAGCCCGCTAAGGAACTGTACGTACCTGCAGGGGACAGGCAGCTCAGAGCTGGAGCCTCCACCCCACCCCATCCCACCCACCCCCCACACTGTATGAGCACAGCGCAGCCCACCCACCCCAAGGCCAGCCCTGTAAGGAGCACCATCTGTCAGGAACACAGGAGCACAAAGGGACCAGCACCCAGACACGGCACCCCCTAGGTGGCCTTGTCCCTACTGGAACTGGCAAGGAGAAGGCCCAGCACCAGCATGGCTGGCCACACACCCCTGGCCGAAGGGCAAACCCAGTCACTTAGGGCCCTGAAGCAGCTAGCCACCTGCAGAGGACAGGAAGCAACTGTGCCCAGCACTGGGTCCTTGCACCTGCCTCGAAGTCCCTGTGGGGACCAAGGACCATCACACCAGAGCAGTCAGATCTCCCTTAGACATGCCAAGGCCAGGCCCCTCATCAACCGAGCCACTGAATTTGCAAACTACACTGCGTGCACTTTATAAATAAAGTAAGTGAAACCCTGTTTGGAGCCCGGGTCCAGGAAAAGCACAGAAAACAGCACTGGCAGCTGCACACTCAGTGGGGCGCAGGGAAGGGTGCCCACCTGGTGCAAACCACCAGGGAGGAGCCTCACAGAAGCCACAGACCTGGTGTCCCCCGAGGCCAAAGGTAGCATCCAGCCACAGTGACTTCCTTCAGGGCCTCAGCCAGAGCAGCCTCCAGCCAAGCTCAACGCTGAAGTTCCCAGTCCAGGTTTCTGGAGTCCTGTGACCTCAGCAGCTGTCTCACATCTACCACACACAGCAGCTGGGAGGGATCCCACTCACATACAAAGGGCCAGGGCACAGGGCCCCCTCTCCAGGACATAAAGCCAGGCTGCAGTGGCCCTGGCTGTTCCTAGAAAAATCTCTGCTGCTTGGCTCAGGACAAAACTGCAAAGCTACCCCGTGACAGACAGGCCCTGTGTCACAAATCGCTCCTTCTGCCTCCATACCTCCAGATCTCAAGTCCTGCTCCCCCTGACTCTACTCAAGCACCTCTGGGCACACAGAGCAGAAGAGATAGGCTCGCCTCAGCTTCCAGAAGCTCTGGATATGAACAAGGAGCCCAGCTTATGGGGGTCCCAGGTCTGTCTGTGTCCATAAGGTTTTAGCAGAACAAAGCCAGGGGTCACTCGCTCCAGAAGCCCACAGGCCCTTTCATAAGAACAGTGGTGAGCAAAGTTGATCCTGGGCAACAAAGGCAAGGCAGGCAGCATTATAATACTTGACCTAAAAATTATACAATAAAGCTACTGTGATGCAATCAGTGTGGTAGTGGCAGCAAAAGAAAAACAAACACATGTGAAAATCAATGGAACAGATTAGAAGTTGCAGAAACAACTGCAGACACACTAAGCCACCTTATCTTTGTCAAAGGTGCCAAACACATTCACTGGAAGAAAGACAGCCTCTTTAATAAACAATCACAGAAAACTGCTCTGCACACACTGAAGATTATAACTGGATGCGTATTTTTCACTATGTACTAAGCTAAAATCAGAATGGGTCAAAGATCTTCATATTAAAACATAAACACTAAATCTGCTGGAAGACAGAGCAGGTAAAACTCTTGAAGACACTGGTGTCGGCAAACAGTTTACAAAACAAACCCCAGCTGCACAGAACTGTCACAAGGGTCAACAACTAGGATCTCACCCTACTAAAAAGCGTTTGCATAGCCAGAGAAACCACCAACAGAGTGAAGAGACAGCCCACCAGGTGGGAGAAAATGTTTTCCAGCTGTTATACAAAGGATTACCATCAAGAACATGTAACGAACTAAAAAAAAAAAATTGTTCTCCCAGATGTAAATACCCAACCCAAAAATGGGCATCTGAGAATACACACTTCTCAGATGAAGAAATATGAAATGCAAATAAATATGTGAAAAACTGTTCAACAGGACTGACCATTCAAGAGATGCAAATTAAAACAACACTGAGATTTTGCCTCACCCTAGAAAGAATGGCTGTCATCAAGAAATCAAGGATTAACAAATTCTGGCGGGGCTGTAGGGAAGGAGCCCTTCTTCACTGTTGGTGGGAATGCAGACTGGTGCAACCACTGTGGAAATCAGTCTGGAGATTCCTCAAAAAATTAGGATTGGAGGTCCCATTCAACCCAGCTATTCCCCATGCTGAGTATCTTCCCAAAGTGATATATGTGCACCCATGTTTATAGCAGCACAGTTTGTGATAGCTAGATCTTGGAAACAACCTAAATGCCCATCAACTGAGGAAAAAAGATGCAGTTTTCTACAATGGAGTACTACTCAGCCATAGAGGACAAACTGGAGACTTCTATAGATTATTTTAATTCTATAGATTAAAATAAATCAGACACGCGTGTGTGAGAAGCTGGAAGAACATATGCGTGTATATGTATAAATATAAAACTGTTCATAAAATGGAATTAAGACAGTTTTAACTGTGGTGCTCTCAAGGCTGCAGAGCCGGAAGCAGAATCATCCTCCTCAGGCTGTAGGTTAGGTCACCATGACCACCTAATGGCAGCCTGCAGGGCAGGGATCCCACCATGGGGGCCTGAGGAGGGGTGCTGGCCTGCAGCATGGGGCTCCCACTGACAGGACAGGTGCTCCTTCCCACCCCGTGGCCAAGGACACAACCCAAGGATGCTGGTGGGGTGCTGTAGAGGGCAGAGAGTGCCCTCCCGTCCTGCCCTCTCAGTGTAGACTCCCACCCACTCCTCCCCAGGGGCCAGGCTGGAAACCCACCGCTTCTGGGAAGGCTGCATCAATGCCGAGACTTTGTCATCGTAAAACTTCTTCATGGCAAACCTGTCCAGAGCCTGGTCAGCACTGGGGAACAGAGAGAGAAAAGGGGCTCAGCTCTGTGAAGCTCCTGCTTGGGGCTGCCCCTCCGCCCACTAGGGGCTCCCCTCTTCTCCAACAGCTGTGTGCATTCATGCAACTTCACATCCCTCTGGGAACGTGGCCAGATCCAAGTGGCAGCAGTATCTGGCAGTGCAGCCTGTAATCCTAGCACTCTGGGAGGCTGAGGCAGGAGAATCACACGTTGGAGCCCAATCTGGACAATTTAAAGACCTAGCAAGATTCTGTATCAAAGTAAAAAATAACAAGGGCTGGGATCAAAATTCAGTGGGCAGATCCTGGGTTCAGTCCTCCAGTGTCACAAAAAAAGGTAAAAGGAGCCACACCCCCAGGGTCTGAACCCAGTGTGAAATCCCACCCTTTCCCCACGCAGAACCCAAGGTGCACTGCACAGGGGCTCAAGGACAGAGGACCCCGCCTCTGGACGGCAGGCCTGGGGGAGCACACCCAGAACACACACCCAGGAGGCCCCAGGAGACACCCAGGAGACATATGGGGACGCTCCTCAAGGCACCTAGATGCTAGGGCTGGGCTGGGGGCGGTGGGGTGGGGCAGGTTAGGTAGAGAGGCAGAGGTTGGCAGGAGGCGTCCAAGTCCCCAGCACTGTACTGCTCCATGCTGGGGTGGACATGGGTGCAACCTGTGCCTCAGCACCCCAGTGCCACGCATGCCAAATGCCCTGCCACACCCCACAGAGTTCACGCTCCTGACTCTCCCACCCCTGCAGCCCAGCATTGAGGCTACCAGTCCCGGATCCGAGCTCCGTGTGACCGAGCGTGGGAGGCTCGCAGCTGGACCTGTGAGTTCTGGCTGCCCAGAAAATTGGACACGGTGGGGGACTGCCCCTTAGGAAAATGTCCATGTGCCCCACAGGATTCATGGATATTTGGAGAAAACACGCAGCGGGATCCGAAGCCAGCCAAAGAAAACTGATCCAAAATCAAGCTCAGAGGACATGGTTTTCCCTGCACACTATTCGGCCGCTCCTGTGGTGCTGGCATCCTCTACCCTGGGGATGCAGACCGCGGGGCTTCCGGGGAAGTTCCAGTTGAGCCCGAAACAGTCACGCAAGGCGTGGACAAAACCTCCGCGGAATGGAACCACGTGGTTACAGAGCACCCTCGGGCTGGTGAGCATGCGCGCTTCCAGAGTTCACTTGGTTCCTTGCACACCAGGAGCGCTCGCGAATCAGTGCTAACACTCAGCATGCACAGCGCCATCATCACCGAGTCCTGACCCTGCCTGACCCTCCTCACTCCCCTCGGCCTCCAACAAGACCACTCTCACTCGGGGACCCAGAGCTTGTCTCCTGTGATTCCCGTGATCAGGGCTGGGCGTGAGTCTCTGCTTCCTAAGGAGAAGCAAGCCCCCGCCTTCCCCTGCAGACAAGTCGGGGTAGGGGATATGCACAGAGCAAGAGCCTGCTCCTCAAGGAAGCTCGGAGGAGAAGAGGGGAGACAGCCCGGAGCAGCCTGATTCCCAGGAAAACGGGAAGCAGCTGGGCAGGCAGAATCGCAGGTGCTGAGACCCCTAAGCTGTGTCCATGAGGTGACATTCAGCGGCCACTGAAGCAGGACAGGGAGAGGCCAAGGACGCTTGTGCCAGGAGTAAAGTGCTTCCTTCTGCCTCCCAGGTTCCCTGCAGGGGCCGCCACCACAGGGTGTCAACTGCCCAGAGCCTGCCCGAGGACGACTGGCTCCAACCCTTCCCATACTCTGCCAATGGCTGCCCACCCACCATCCGGCACCCCGAGGTCTGTCCTACCTGGCCGAGACGTTGGTGAAGTGCATGTAGGACGAGATGACCACACCGATGCGTCCTTTCCCGCCCTGCAGGGACAGAGAGGAAAGTATGCTCTCTGGGTCCCCCCACACAGAGGCCAGCTGACCTGAGGATGCCGAATCCAGGGTGGCCAGCAGGGGTCACCCAGCCACGCAGGGGACCGCCTGAGATGCCTGCACCCTGGCTGCGGTGAGAAGAGCCAGCTGCTGCAGACGCAGCCTGCCGATACCACAAGCCGCTTCCTGACTACTGCTGAGAGGCAACGAGCAGGCACGTGCAAGCCAGGAGTATAAGGAACCAGCAGTCACACTCAGACACTGCCAGGAGGTAGCCTGTCTCTGTCCCGGGCAAGGCAAAAGGCACCAGCTCGACTTCTAGGCCTTTGCAGTTTAACACTGGCACGTAAAGTTAACAACCAACTGCAAAGCTTCTAATGTGCTTCCGGAGGAAAACTAGACTAGTTTTAAGAACAGAAATCCAGCCAGGCATGGCAGCACACGACTGTCATCCCAGCACTCGGGAGGCTGAGGCAGAAGGACTGCCGAGAGCGGGAAGCCAGTCTGGGCTATGAAGTGAGTTAAAGGCCAGCCTGAGTTACACAGTGAGAGCCTAAGTTCACCTGTGAGAAGAGAAAAGAGCCCCAAACAGACAGATGAGTGGTAGCTTTCACTGCTCATATGTTCAGTCAATTATTTTTGTAGCACTTTATGGATAAAGAAACTACTGAGAGATTCTAGGGAAGAGAGGCAGCAATGGAGTCAAAGTAGAGACTTCAGTGCCCACCTTCACCAGTGGACAAAGGTCAGACACCAGATCAATCAAAAGAAAGAAAAGCACCCAGCGGTACTGGCACCCGGACCCGCTCGGGATGCGCACCCCTCTCTCGGGTCCCAGCAGAGGTCAGCAGGCTGCGGGGGAGCGAGTCTCTGCCGGCTGCCCTGGCACAAAACCATGAATCTGTCACAGCAGGAATCCTGGAGAGATCACAAATAGCTCCAACAGCCAGCTCACCAGTAACCGCTGGGTCACAGAAGAAATTAAAAGAAAACAGAACTGTAAGGAGACACCTGGAATGCACGGGATCTGAGCAAAGCAGTTCCCAGGGGGAAGCCCAGAGCTGAGAAGCAGACAGACCCTAACCTGATACCTGCAAAAACCAGCAAACATGCAAGTCGGTCCACAGTGAGCACAACTAAAGACACAGCAGAGATCAGGGCAGCACAGAATGCTCAGAGAACAACAGAAAAAGATCAATGAAACGGAATTGTTTTTTAAATAAGGTAAACAAAACTGATGACACTTTAGTGAGGCCCACTAAGGGGCAGCTCAGTTAGATGACAGCTAATGAAAGGGGATAGGGATGGGCAGGGTCCCCAGAGACTGCTGCAAACCAAAGGGCACTGTTGGGACAGCCTCACAGGAGCGGACCGACTCCTAGACACAGGCTGCTCGCAGTGATGGAGGACAGGAAGGAGGCTGACTGAATAATAAAACGTCTCCGGACAAGAGAAAACCAGCTAGCTTCAGGGATGAGTTCTAGCAGTCCAGTCAGTGGCCTCGGTCTTCAGACGCTTCCAGAATACGGACGGAGAGGGAACACACCAAAGCGCCTTCCTTTTCCAGGCCGGCCTTATCCCGATTCGGTGCTTTCTCTTTTTTGTTCTCTAATTTTTCTCCCTATGAGTCCGTGTTCTCAGGAGTGACAAGCCATCACACCGGGAGCTGGTACATGTACAGGACACAGCTTCACACTTTTCAAGTCCCCTTCCCTGACAAAGTTTTTCCTTGAAAGAGCCAGATGGCAGGTATTTGGGGGTTTGCAGCCCCTGGGCTCCTACTGGAGCCCTCTGACCTGCGGGTGCACAGAGCCCACGGCTGAGTTCCGGTCAGACTCTTGTGTGAAACCTGAGCCTCCTAAAATCTTGATGTAGGCAGGGGTGGCACGCCCATGACCCCAGCACTCGGGAAGCAGAGGCAGGATGATCGCCCTGAATTCAAGGTCAGCCTGGAGCACTCAGCGGGACCCTGCCTCAGAACACCAAAACCGTTTTCCACCTATTCCTAACCTGAGGCTCGCAGGTGGCGGAAGGCAGCTCTGCTGGGTGGTCTTTCCCGCAGAGGGGCACAAGGCAGCAGTGCTTAGGGCTGGGACGGTTCTGAGCTGATCTGAGCAAAGCTGCAGAATCGCTGACCTCAAAAATCTTCTGTGTGTCCTGGTCCCCAGGACTCCCAGATGGAGGGGAGCTGCGGGAGGGAGGCTGACCCACCCGGCAACACCCGCAGGAGTCAGATGAGGGAGGGGGAAGGGAGGAGAAGGTGGCCGTCCCCACCCGCCCCGCCCCCAGCCCCGAGGGTGAGCCCTGGCATGTGCGGAGGCCTGGGCATTCTGCAAAGCTGGCAGATTCCGGCCCGAGTCAGCAATTCCGCCCACCACCGTCCCCCTTGGCGATGCCACAATGACAGGCCTGGGCTGGAGACACAGCCCAGGGCGGTCACTGGGCAGGTGAACATCTCAGTGTGTCCTGAGGCAGTCCTTGGGCAAAGGTAGGGTGCTGAGGAAGCAGACAGCATAGAGGTCTGGGCATGGCAATCCCTGGGCCCTACCTCCTTCGGGCATGGTGGTGCAGGTCTGTGATCCCAGCACTACTCAGAAGGCTGAGGCAGGAGGGTCACGAGAGTTCAAAGCCAGCCTGGGCTACACAGTGAGTTCAAGGCCAGCCTGCACTACCTACTGACACCCTGTCTCAAAAAAGACAAAAATAAGTAAAAAATAAAGGGGAGAAACCAAAGGGAGAGGGGGAGTGAAGATGACCAAGATATGACAGGTGCACATGTCAAGTCCCTGAGATGAACAGAATTGCTACACATTGTGATATATACACTGGAGTACTACTCAGCCCTCAAGAAGGATAATGAGTCAGCTGCAGGGAGACAGATGCCCCTTGAGACCGTGACACTACAGGAAACAAATCAGACATGGAAGGGTGATTGTTGCCTGGTTTCTCTTACATGAGAAGCCCAAAGCATAAATGAAATGACTAAAGGGCAAGATAAAGACAAATTTAGGAAACAGTGGTGTGGGATCTGGGGACAAGAAGAACAGGAAGGGAAGAGTAAGATGCAGGTCACATGCCACATCCCCAAGGTGAACACAGTCAGCACATACTACATTCCGTACCAATAAAAACATAAGACAGACATGCTCATATACATACATACATACATACATACACATATATACATACACACACACTCCAATACTTACACACCGGACTAAGCACTGTGTCTTAAAATTATGCTTTCTAAAAAAACACAAACTACAAGGCCAGGTATGATGTCACACTTCTGTAATCCCTGCACTCGGGAGGCAGGAGAATCGTTGCAAGTTCGAGACCAGCCTGGGCTACAAAGTGAACTAAAGGCCAGTCTGAACTGCATCCCGCAGTTCAGTCTGAACTAAGCAAAACCCTGTCTCAAAAAGACAAAAGAATAAATAAATAAATAAATTTTAAAAAATCAACTACGCCTGCCCCAGCAATCTGAGTGCAAGGCACACCTCAAAGAACCGGACCAGCTCTGTTCACACAGCCGAGCATGAAACCCACCCAAGGCCTGGGACGAAGGGACAGAGAAAACACCACCTGCTCAGGGTGACCAGAGGGAGCCCGGCCACGTGCAGCTCCGTGGAGACCTGGCAGGGCATCCTCAGGCCAAGCAGGAAACCCTGCCCTGCCCAGCAGCGCAAGGGCCACCAAGTCCCAGAGGCATCGCAGCGCTCACCCTGCAATGGATGACGACCACGTGCTGCGGGTCGCTGTTCAGCCAGGACTCCTGCGCCTTGCAGATGGTGCACATCTTGTCCAGGGGTGGCGCGTGCAGCTCGGGCCAGCCCACGTCCATGATCTGCAGAGGCAGAAACAGAGAGACATGAGCCCTGCCTCAGTTTCCCTCTCTAAAGGCCTAGAGCCCCTGCAGGCTGCCTTCTTCCCTCCGCTGCTGTGAGGACACCAAGATGCCAGACCTCGATTGTGGGGAAAATTTTTAACTCTAACGCTGGAGACCAAGATCGCTTAAGATTCTGGGGCTCTGGAATATTCTGGGGCTTTTGGAGGACTCACACACTCTTCTTGGTTAGCGTCCCTAACCCCAAAAACCGTGAAATAAAGGGAGGCAAACAGCCAGGCATGGTGGCGCACACACCTCTCATTCCTCGGGAAGCTAAAGCAGGAGGATTGCCTCGAATGCAAGGTCAGCCCAGACTACATAATGAGATCCTGGCTCAAAACACAAAAGCAAAAAAGGTTCTGAAATTGGAAATGTTCCATAATCTAGAGCTTTTTAAGCATCATGTCACTACTCCAGATACTCTGATTTCAGAGAACTGTGGACTTGGGCTTTAGGACTATGGACGCTCCAGCTGTACTTTTTTATGCCAAAGGCTGCAAAATATTCCAGGGTATAGAACGTTCCAACACGTGTGCTATGTGTCCACGTACATAAGCCTGTTGTTTGTGAGTGTGTACACTATTTAGACTTACACAGTTTTTTGTTGTTGTTGTTTTTTGTCTTTTTTGAGGCAGGGTTTCACTCTACGGTTCAGGCTGAGCTTGAACTCACTTTGTAGCCCAGTCTGGCTTTGAACTCTCTGCAATCCCCCTGCCTCAGCCTCCCCAGAGCTGGGATTACAAGGGTAAGTGTTATGAATTAAGAACTGGTGGTCAGGGGGCTGGGGATTTAGCTCAGCGGCATAAGCACCTGCCTTGCAAGCAGGCATTCGTGAGTTCGATTCCTGGTACCGATAAAAACGAAAAAGACAAAAAAAAAAAAAAAAAAGAAGAAGAACTGGTGGTCAACTTAACGCCAGCTGGACTACATCAGCATGGCACTGGGCGAAGATGTTCCACCTGAGGAAAGTTGCCAGAATAAATAGGTGGAGAAGGGAGATGTGGAGGGTTTTGGCGTTAAGGAGGCATTGTGGGTTCTCCTACGAGTTGCTGTCTGAGCTGTTGGTTCTCCTGGAGAAGCTTTGGTCTTCACATCGAGCATTGCTTCCTGGCTCCGGAGGGGAAGACATGTGCTGCTTGGTCTCCAGGATGAACTCGTCACGCTGCTTCCTGGCATGTACCCGACTGTGCTTGTCATCGGAGGAGCTCAGGGCCTCCGTGTCACAGAGGACAGCTGTGATGCCTTTCAGGACAGCCCCGCTCTTTGTTGTGAGTGTGACTTCTCAGCTCCAGTGTAGAACCCTCATCCCACTAGCACAGTTCCTTCATCCTGCTGGCATAGACTTTCTGGCTTCCACTGCTGACCCTTGGGTCTTCCCGGCACGAATCCATAAAAGAGACTGGCATGAGTCCTTCTTGTGGGCTCTGGACCTCCAGTTGGACTTGTAGAGGTGTTGTCCTGAGCTCTGGATTTTTATCTGGACTCATGTGGGACATTGCCGTGGGGTTTGAGCTCTTGACTAAATAATCTATGCTTTTGGTGTTGCGGATAGATTTCCTGCATTTTCCTGTATTAACTTCCGGTGACCATTATAAAAATATTATAAACTCCATGTCCTAATCCTAGTTGTTCTCTGTGTACAACCCTGACTACTACAACAGTAAGCCACCACGCCCAGCCTTACATGGTCTTGAAAATCTTCTTTCAATCTTTCTACTGAAGGCTGGACGGGTGCTCCGTGGCTAGAAAGAGGCGGCAGGAGAAAGTGTGGAGAGGCAGGAGTGTCCTCCCTGCGGTTACACAGGAGGAAGTAGCAGAGAAGTGCGTGTGCGTGCACACAGAGGAAGTGTGTCGGGAAGGAGTGAGGGGTGCCTGAGGCCCATGGGGGCGCTGGCCTGGTACCACAGGGTAAACCCGCTTCCCTAAACGCTTGCAGCCCCACGGGGTGGGGGTCTCCGACTTTAGAACCCCTCGGGGCTGCACCCCAAGCCCACGCGAGAAATCCACTGGCGTCACATGCACCTGAGCCCGATGGCCTAGCACTACCTCCACTTGCTACCTTTAACAACCCTGTGCAGGAAGCGAAGTTTCACGGTGTGGAACCTTCCACCATGAAACCACATCCACAAAGTTCAGCACGGGGAACCCAGTTAAGGGGGACACGATACCTCTAGCCACTATCACCGTGACTTCTTTTTGTGTGTGTCTTTTTCCTTTTTCCTTTTTATCGGTACCACGGATCGAACTCACGACTGCCTGCTTGCAAGGCAGGCGCTTATGCCGCTGAGCTAAATCCCCAGCCCCTCACGTGACTTCTTATGGAACTGTTATTACTTAAACTCAAACACACATATCCTTAAAAATCCCAGCTGGTGCACACCTGTAATCCCAGCACCCTGGAAGGCTGAGGCAGGAAGGTGACAGGTTTGGTCCCGGCACTACACAAACACACACACACTCACACACATGCACGCACACGCTACCCCATACTGAGTTCCTGATGCTGCTATCAAGTGATAAACTACATTTGCACAAGCAAAACAAACACGGCTTGCATCTCAGGGAACTCGGGACAGGAAGGGAAAAGTCCATACCTTTGCGTTGAGCTTCGCGAGGTCAAACCTCTTCTCAGAAAGGTTTAACACCTACAAAGAAGAGTGGCTTTTAGACAATATCAACTTGAGATGAAAAATACACAACTGCCGCTGATCGCAGTGTACCAACAGGTCCCTCTGGTCATGGGACACAAGCCCAGATGCGCAGGCTCCCCCAAATCCTCACAGAGCCCACCTAGTATGAACCCTGCTTTTGGTAACTAGAGCTAAAGCAAGCGATTTACCACAGTACTGTTTCTTTTACTCTACTGGCCACAAAATATCCCAACGCACAGACAGGGGCAGCTCCACAGGGCTGCACAGCTCTGCTCCCCTGGCCCTGCCCAGGTGGTGGCAGGCGAGTTCTGAGGGCAGCCTGTCTGCTTCAGTACAGATGTAATGGGACAATATCAGCGTGGTGGTGCACGCTTGTAACCCCAGCATTCGGGAGGCTGAGGCAGGAGGCTCACCATGAGTTCAAGGCTAGTCTGGGCTACACAGTGAGTCCAAGGCCAGCCTGAACTGCATAGATCTCAGAAAACAAAACAAAACACTCACTACAACAAAAGACACATTGCTGTGAAGCCCTCTTAACGTCCTCCCCTCAGTCAAGCACATTTAGGCCCTTGCCCCTGCCATTCCCTGGAGCCCCTTTTCCTGAGGGTCTTTAGCCATGCTGTCCTTGCTGCCTCAGTGGTGCCAGCTCTGGTGAAGAAGGTGGCTGAGCACACAGCGTCAGGACTTTATAAGCTGCCTTTCTACAGAATGGCACTTGACAGTAGAAGTCACCATATTTTTGATTGCACCTCATAAGGACGCTCAGGAGAGAGGTCTCCAGAGCTGCTGCAGAAAGTGGCCAAGACAACGGGGATGAGTGTGCCGGGAGCGAGGCTGAGCGTTTCGGGGAGGTCTGCGGCAATGCGTGTCCACCTGCAGCGGACGCTATCGTGAACACTCACTGTGGATCCCCATTACCCCTGGCTCACGCCAGAGACAGACACAACTCCTGACCCAGGCATGTCTCCCCCAAGGCCCTGGAAAATCAGAGCTGCTGCAGGGTCTCCCTCAAAGCGCAGTAACATGGAAGTGGTAACACAACATGCAGCAGCCAGCGGCCTCAGAGATGGCGCGGGAGGGGCTGGGGCTCCCTGAGGTCCCCGGCTGTTTTAGCCCAGCCCCGCCCCAGCCCCGCTACCTCCTGGGCCTGCTCCATGTCCTCTGCTGGCATCACCAGGGATGCTGGTGACCCCTCCTGGAGGTTCCAATCTAGCGTCTGTGTGTGGAAGGCATCGCCACACACAATTGTCAGTGGATTCAACTGTGTATGAACTCATGGCTGATTATGCTGTGGCCCCCATCCTCTATTCTCTCCCAGATTCCTGCCCTCCACAGGGTGAGCACCTTTCCCTCGGCCTTGGAACCAGCTGACATAGACTGAATTCTAGGAAACTGTGAGCCACAATGCAGCTCTCCTCCCTGAAGCTGCGGTGCTGGGTGTGTGTCGCAGAGACGGGAAAGTGACAGACACAGTCCCTCTGCGACAGGCCCTGCCAGGCAGGAGGCTGGGCTGCCCCTTGCTGTCCATGGTGTGGGTGGGGAAGGTGACAGCACCCTCTCTGTTGCTCCCAAGGTAAGGGATGAGCTCGGAGTGCACAGGACCCACAGGGACCCGAGGTAGGAAACAGAAGTGATGCTCTCCACAGGCCTAGGCAGAGTGGGTACGGCGTGGCATGGTTCTGTGGTCCCCAGGTCCTGGAAAGGAGCCACCTTGTGCCCCAAGGCAGCCCTCTGTCCCTGGGCCACCCTCCCCAGTCCCCAGTCAGGCTGTGTGCAAAGTCCCCAGCTGTCCTGGGCAGTGAGGGGCCCATGGTGGTCCTGGTCACTCACCAGGTAGTTGTCCCCGTGCTTGGACTTGAGCATGCACGTGACCTCTTGTAGGCTGTGCAGGTAGGACTCCTCAGAGCAGCCGGCAGGGAAGGACAGCGCAATGATGCGCTCTGTGATGTAGGTGAGGTCCAGCTGGTGGCCATCCGCCATGGTGGGGCTCAGGGCCGTGGGCCTGGGGGAGAAGAGGGTCCATCAGTGGAGGGGAGAACGGAAAGGGGACAGTGGTCACCCGCCACCACACAAAGACCTGAGAAATAGGATCCCGGGGCCGAGCTCAGTACATCAGCCTCGATGGCTGCCCAGGAAATGGACACTGACCCTGGGGTCACCATCGGTTACTGAGGACAACATGGGGCAGAGTCTGGGGCAGAGCCTTTGCCTGTTGCCCACAAAAACCTGAGGTCTCTGCCCAGCACCATGAGATGGGGACGGTGTCAGGGCCGAGCCTCCTCCCTTGGGAGCCTCCCATGGCCAGGGACGTGGTGACATGGGGCTCAGGGACACTCACTGCGCAGGCTTTTCACTGCAGACAGGAGCTGGTGACGCGGAAACAGCTGGGGTCTGCAAAGGACAAGACAGGACCCATCCTGAGGCTGCCTCCTGTGCAGTCCACAAGGGCCTTGCCACAGCTGGAGAGGACCACGGCCAGCGGTGCCACATTAACCTGCCACCCTCAGTGAGCCAAGTGCCGCCACCTCCAGGCCCTCTCCCGGCCAGGGACTCCAGGCTGCCCAGGGACACAGCTCCATGACCCTCAGCAGGACAAGGCTAGCCCAGGGCAGCTGCAGAACAGGAGACACCTGTCACCGTGCCAGGCTTTGCTCGGGCACAAGAGGCACTGACATCAATGCCGCGACTTTCTGAGTGACCGTGATTCCAAAGTGAACGGCCTGGACTGAGAGGTCAGGGCAGGTTAGAAACGGGTGCAGGAAACACCCAGAGTCTCTCTGGCCTGTGCCTGGGGACCCCGAGGGACACATCGCCCTCTGTAGCCCCAGAGCTTCCTACATCCTGACACCTGGTGCCCCACCCACCCATGAGGAAGAATGGGATGGAAAGTGAACCCCAGAGGTGGTACAGGAGCAATAGGAGAGCCGTGCCTGCATCAGCACCCCTGGGCCCCTACGGCAGGAATCCCACACATGCCCATTGTCCACCAAGATCCCCGCTCCCTGCCTGGCCCCTCAGGGCTGCCCCAGGCCCAATGCAGTTCCACCTGGCCCAAGGGACCATGGTACCACAAAATCCAGGCCGAGTGTGCCCTGCCCCTCCAGGAAGCTGGGACCCCAAACCCTCGGGCACACCCTGGGTGGCTCCAGCCACCTCTCTTCTTTCAGGCTCCACAGTGAGTTCAATGTGAGCCAAAAGGACACAGCAAACAGTTTCAAAAAACCCAACTGAAACAAACCATAAAAAAGACTTTAACAGAATGGCTGGGATAGGGTTATGGCTGAGGGTACCTAGCACAGCCAGGGGACACAGTGGCCTCAGAGGGTCCAGTTGCACCAGCAGGGCCAACCAGGCCCCCTGTCCTCGCCCTGAAGCCCATTTCCCTAAGTGGCCACATCTCTCTCAAACTGGACACTGCATGAAGAGTGGATGGGTGGATAAATGAGATCCCAGGAACCCCACCAAGCCCAGATGAGCCCCAGACGTCGCTGCACCCCTCCATATGGGGCAGTTTGTAGGACTCAGCCATTGCCACACAGTCGAGCACAGGACCTGGGAATCAGGAGCAACGCTGGGCCTGGCTGAAGCACCCCGGACTCGTAGTTCCCACACGACCCAGGACATGGCCACTGCTGGGTGGCTCAGATCCGCCTCAGGGGATCCCTTCCAGGCACACCTGGGTGGGTCATGGAGATGTGACCTCGGGGCTATTGCCTGGTCCCCGCCCCTGGTTGCCTGGCACCGTCCCCTGCTCTGCTCCTGGGCTGCCATGAACGGAAGTTTTGGTCCTCCTCACCGTGGTGCTGTGAGGCCCTGCCTTGGAGCTGGCTGACCGTGGACTGAACGGCCTTCAATCGTGAGCCGAATAACCCTCTCCTCCTCTAAGCTGTGGGTACTGGGATTGTGTCTCAGCGACAAGGAAGCTAGTACAAAAGGGTTCCACCACATCAAGAAAGGCTTCCCACAGCGACAGCTAAACAGGCCTTCGAGGAGAAAGGGTCTGGGCAAACCTACTACGATCCTGCGTCACAGCTAAGCCTGGTACGGTCTATGGACAGTGCCACCTGACAGTAGCACATGGCCACAACTCAGCCACTCAGCCAGCAGTGTCCATCCCCACTAGAAATTCCTGCCAAGGGCCACCCCTCCCTGGAGGAATGTGGGGCTGGGCCGCAGCAGACTAGGGGGCGATGGTGCGGAAATCTGCATCTTCACATTGCACACACAGCCAGAATAAGTTCTCAGATCTAAAATTCTGCAGTTCCCAAGCTTGCGGTGAACAGGACAGCCCATCCCACACCCACGATGCAGGCACTCTCGGCTTTATCCCATATTGGGACCTGCACAAAGGGTCGTGGTGAGGCCAAGGAGTTCCTAAGATACGGTAGCCCCAGGGCCCTGTCACTCACCCCGCTCATCATGCCTCCCATACACTGGACCTTACTGGGAGAAGCTGACGTCCAAGGAACCCTCTGCTGGTGCCCACGGTGAGCCACTGTTAATAGCCCACTTCCCTTAGGGTTCTGCAGAGGCCCTGTGTTCCCTGAGGACCTGCAGCCTGGGGCCACAGCGCTGAGCCCCTCTTCAGCTCCAGGAGATGGAGACTGGGTCACTTTCACTGGGCCGAGGGGTCCAAGCAGCCTGGCAAAGGTCAAGCCAGGGAGATCCAGCTGCATCCTCTCCCGGGGACTGGGAGCTCCTCTCACCTGTGACAGCATCCTGTGGAGCCCACCTCCTGACATAGATGAAACCACAGCTGTGCACCAGTTCTGGGGCCACCAGCAAAGACAATACCACAGAAGAAGGAAAGAGGACCCCCCGCAACCCCCTACACAAGATCGGAATGGCGCCTCTTCTTCCCAGGCTGCTGCTGGCTTCTACAAGATCTATAAAGCAGGGACCCCTCCACTCCTGCTTCTCCAGGGGTCTCTGCCAGGCACTCAGCCACAGGCCAGCTCCCACCTCAGGGACACCATGTAGAATAGGAACTTGGGTCTCCTCAACCGAGCGCAGCCTCCTGGAATTGCAGTGGCCCGAGACCGTCATCGCCTGGAAACCCCACATGGAAAATTCCAGGTACAAACAGCTCCAAGGCCACGTCACAGTGTCTATCACTCATCGCTCCTCCCTGCAGCCCAGGGACACCTAGAGCATCCCATAAGACCCCCAGGAACAGGCTGAGCCCAGGGCATCTGGAGACCCCAGCCCTAACTGTCACACCCGTGGGCATCGGAATCAGCACGCTCATGGAACTGTCATCAGTCCGTGACTTTGTTTTCCAGTACCAGGGATAGACCTCAGGGCCTTTGTGCAAAGCCACATATCCAGCCCTTTTTTAACTTTTTTTTTTATCTTGAGACAGGGTCTCACTAAGTTGCTCAGACTGGACTGGAACTTGGCATCCTCCTGCCTTGGCCCACCAGTGCACTGGGATTACAAGTGGGTGCTGCCTCGTCTGACCTACTGTTAACTCTTACCGTTCCTGTTGTGTAAATTCCACTCCACCACAGGTCTGTGTGTGCAAGTACAACATGCACAGGCAGGGTTTGCACTGCAACCGTGCACAGGGCTGGGGTCTGGGGACACAAGGGACAACTGTAGGACCTGGGCCAGCTATTGTCACACTAGGGTACCAGCATCTCAGAGAGGTCACAGGTCTGAGTCTCCTCGGACACTCTGGTTTCCAGTATACTTCAAAGACCACCCAAACTGCCATGGTGGCACACGACTGGCATCCCACACTGGGGAGGCTGAGGCAGGAGGATCTCTATAAATTTAAGGCCAACTTGGGTTATATACTAAGACCTTGTTTCAAAAAAGCAAAAAACAAACCAGAGCCAGGATTTAGCTCAGTGGCATAAGTGCCTGCCTGGCAAGCACAAGGTTGTGAGTTTGATACCCAGTATTCAAAAAGAAAAATCCAAGGCAGCAACCAAGCCAGACGTGGTGGTACAGGCCTGTGATACCAGCACTCTGGGAGGCTGAGGCAGGAGGATCATGTGGGCAACTCTGTGACTCAGCAAGACCCTGTCTCAAAATAGTACATAAAGCTTGGGCTCACTGTACAGGCCCTAAGTTAATCCCTGGTCCTGGAAAAATAATAAAATGAAAAACAGTACCAAGGAAGGCTGCCCAGTGACAAACCTAGAGGCACTCCTGGCTTTCCTCGCTCATCCCTCGATGCTGGGGGTGGAGGAAGGGGCAGAAGATGAATGACAGTCACTGGAATCCCAAAGCCTCGGTGTGAACACAGCTTTACAACACCACGTCCCCCCACCCACTCGGTTTCCTCATCTGCAAGGGCAGCTCGAATGATGCGACGTGAAAGAAAATCTGGGCAGAGGACCCTGCTGAGCAAATACCTGCCTGGTCCGGCAGCTCCTGGAGTGGGGCTGGGGAGACTACAGAAACGCACACCCCCAGTACCTGGGTCTCAGCACTATCACCCAGGGGGGAAAGGGCTCTGGGAGGGACAGTAACCCCTCAGCGGTCACAGCCGTGAGACCCTCTCCTCCAGGACTGCCCAGCTCATGCGCACCCTCTGAGCTTTCAAACACTGCCCAGCTCATGCGCACCCTCTGAGCTTTCAAACGTGAGCCCTGAGGGCAGGATCAGCAGCTGGACCAAGCCTGCAGGGCCCCCCAGGAAGCTCAAGGCTTTCGGGAGCTACAGCTGGATCACCAGGAATGAGCAGCAACGGCTCCTCCCCAGGCCAGGCTGGCTGCCCCGGAGCCATATGGAAGCAGGGACCAGGAGGACAGAGAGACTGCCGACCGCAGAGCCCAGCATACATAGAGCACACTCCAGACTCTCCAGAAACAGGCACCTTCCCAGGCTGGACCAAGGGCACCAAGGGCCCGGCAGGTGCGGGCTGAGTGGACTCACCACGCGGCTGCTGCTACTCCAGGTAGCTCCTCCTCCTCCTCCTCCTCCTCCTCCTGCCACCAACAGCACGGAGCAGAGCGCACGTCCCCTCCGGAGGGAGAGGACAGGGCAGGTGGGCGCTTGAACTGCCCAGCGACGCAGGCTGGGGGACACAGCCAGGAGAGCGGCTGAGCGGGCGGAGACCACAGCACCCTGGGCCAGGGCCTGCAGATCCGCACGGCCAGACCAGGAAGCCGCAGGCTGTGTGCTTCCCGGGACTCGGCTGGCTGCCCAGGCTTCCCCAGCAGCAGCCTGGGGCGGCAGCGAAGGGCGTGCACGCCTGCCTCCCCGCCTCCCCTGCCTTTGCTTCTCCACATAGTTTGTTTTTCCTTCGCCTTATTCCAAACAGAAGTTCAAACAATCATTCAGGAATCTGGCATCATTCAGCAAATTTTAAAGAAACAGAAACAAACCACCCAGCCAGGTGCAGAAGTGCACACATCTGTACTCCCAGCACTCTGGGATGCTGAGGCAGGAGGATCACAGGTTCCAGTACAGTCTGGGGAATTCTTGGTGCAAAGGCCCTGGGTTTGATCCCCAGAACTGCACAAACAAAATGAGAAAAAGACAGAACACCCAAACACGGACAAAGAGCAGGCAGGGAGACCACAGAGAAAGTGCCAGTCGCCAAACTGTGGTCTGGCCCCTGCAGGTGCTCAACCGGTTCCAAGGGTTCCAAGCTTCCTGCACTGCAAGACACAAAGGCAGATTGTGGCCAGAGGGACGTGGGACGGGGTTTGGGCACAGCCAGTGGGGACCTTCAAGGTCACCTAACCCGTCTGACGCGGTTTCACCCTGGTCACTTCACACTCAAGGGTGGCAGAGGGAGGGCGTGGCCAGGGCAGCTGGCCAGGGTGGCTGCTTACCAGGCCTGCTGCAGCCGCCCCCACCCCCGACAGCTGCCTGTGTTGGGCTTTCACGTGCCAGGGCCCACGCTGTTCCCCATGTGCACCAGGACACGCACGTGCTCCTCATCTCTGTCAGCAGCTGCACAACAAACACACTTCTCCACCCAGAAAAAGGACCACAGCCTGGGACCCCTGACCCAGGAACGGGGGCATCACCACCCAGGGAGCACACAGGGCCCCTTCTAGCCCGAGTACCAGGGCTACTCCAGGGCAGTAGGCCAGGATCCTCCTGCCTCAGCCTCCCATGAACAGAGCAGGGATTACAGGAAGCCTCCATTCCCGATCCAAATGCTACCTTGTCTCTAATTTTCTCCTCCTATAAATGGCATCAGAATTAGGGTTGTTTTCTGGGGGGTACAGCAGAGGAAGCTTTAGGGATCAGTCACACCAACCCCAAACACAGAAGGCCTTGCAGTGGGGCAGGGCTTGGGACCTCCTCCCCCACAGGGAACTGGGACCCTCAAGCTCGAGGGGCTAGAAGGGTCGGGTGGTTATGAAACCAACACCCGGAGCACCAGGGCATGGACTGTCCCCTCCCAAGGACAGTGCTGACCCATGAGGGACTATACCACACCAGGTTGATGAGCTTCAAGGTAGAGGAGCCTCACAGAGCAGACACCCTGCCACTGGGCAGGGCTCTTCCTGTTAAGGACCAGAATTCCAGGGTGACCACTTGTGTCCCTGACCTTACCTCCAACATCCCAGACCCGTGCCTGGGGACATCCCCACCTGCGGCACCATCTCTCCTGCCTGAGCAGGTAACAGCTTCAGGGGGCAAACACCGTCCTCTCTGGAAACTTTGGCTGAACCCAGGTCACCATGGTGGGCTGGGGGGGGAGCGGTTTACAGGACTTTCCAGCTGTGACTGCCACAGGGCAGAGCAGACTCTTACAGCAGGTGTAGCGCATGGGCACTCATCTGGGTGATGCCCATGACCAGCCCGACCTCTGCTCTCCGCGGGACACCTACCATCCAGGGCCAGGGTTACCAACTGCACCCCAGGGAGTGCCATCTGCACCGCCTCCCTTCCAGAGGATGCCTGAGGCCAATCCCTAGCACATCACTTCCTCCCAAAAGATCTGTCAGAGCACAGTGGAACACAACTGCGATCCCACCACTCCACTCCAGGAGGCTGAGGCAAAAGAGTCTTACCAAGCCCTGGCTCACATCCCGAGGAAAGGGCTGGGGGGCAACTCAGTGTGAAGCCATGGGCTCAACTCACAGAGATACCGCGGGAGAAAGAGAAGGGGAGGGGAGGAGAGGGGAGGGGAGGGGTGGGGAGGGGAAGGAGAAGGGGAAGAGAGGAGAAGGAAGGTGGGACGATGTCAGCACCCTTAAAAGATGAAAACAAACAAATAAAAAAACAGAACCCCAAAATACTCATACTATGAACAAATTCCCTTGACATCAGAAGTATCTACTCCGTGTTCAAACTTCAAAACATGTATTTTTGGTTTTGTTCTTTTGCAATCTGTTCCTGAGTAAGGACCTCAATAAACCTCACTCCACCTGTCTCTTTTTAGCAAAATAATTTCTTCCTAAACCGGGCGTTGGGAGGCTGAGGCAGGAGTTTCAGACCAGCCTGGGCCCAAGTGAGCCCAAGGCTAGCCTGAACTGCATAGCAAGACTCTTGTCTCAAAACAAATAAAAAAATCTGAACTTCTTCCTCCTCTTTCTTTTTATCCTATTTAAGATAGGATCTTGCTATCTAGTTCAGTATAGCCTCAAACTCTGGGAGCTCTTCCCATCTCAGCCTCCTAAGTGTTAGAATCACAGGCTTAAACCACCATACCCAGCTCTTCCTCCTCTTTGAACAACTCATGTCAAAAAGCCAGGGTCATCTTGCCCAGGACAGTCCCCTTGAGATCTTGCAGAGTTCTAGTCTCACTTCCCAGACTCCTCCAGCCTTAACTTCCTGTTGGTGTGGACAGGAGGGGCTAGGTCTGATTCTCATCTGGCTACTGCCGAGGACACAGCTAGGGCGTCCTGCTCTCCCTCAGAAGCCACTGGCCCTGGACCCACTTTTCCTTTGGGTCAGAGAGGTCACCCGGTGTCCTTCTGTTAGCTGCTGGCCCCATCAAGGGCACTGTTTCAAGGCTGTTGCGGCCGCTGGGGTTCCTCTTCCTGTATTTGGAGAGCCCCACGAGGAGTTTCCTGCGACAGGAGGTGAGGGGGGGACAGGGGGAGCTGGCTGGAGCAAGCACTGCCCTAGCCCCAGGGCCCACTCAGCACAGCCAGGGTTAAAGGGAAGACTTCGGAGCTCCTGCTTCTCTGTACTTATGAGTATTTAAGATAAGCTGGTTCCCTAGTAGGTTCCCTAGAGTACCTACAGAGGGAAGATTTTTGGTTTTGTTTTCCTTACAGTTTCCCTAAGGCCTCCCACAGAGCTACGACCCCAGCCCTTTTTCCTTTTCTAATTTTGAGACAGGGACTCACTGAGTCACTAAATTGTCCAGGTTGGGCTCCCACTTGCAGTCCTCCTGCCTCAGCCTCCCAGAGTGTTGGGATTATGGGCACAGTGGTTTTCTTATGGTAAACTGCACTTTTTGGGGTCTGTAGTACAAACCAAAACCAGATCCCAGTCCAAGTGACAAAGCTAACAGCTATCACACCTGGCCCCAGCCTGGCCTTCTAACATCCCTGTTTTTGATCTGCACAGCTGACTTGACAAGGTCCTGCTCAGGGCCAGGGATGCAGCTCAGCGGCATAGCACCTGCCTGGCAAGCGCAAGGTCCTCAGTTCAATTTCTGACCAAAAAAGTAAAAATAAAAATAAATCAAAAGTGTTGCTCCATCGCTGTAATCCCACTCTGGGAGTCTGAGGCAGGAGGCTCCTGTTCATCTGATAAGGGCCCAGAGGAACGGCCAGAGGGACTGTTGGGCTGCTGTCACTGTCACTGTCCCTGCACTGGAAGAGTGAGAGAACTCGCCTGCACTGAGCATTCCCCACAAGCCCTGCTGTCTTTTGGGATGACCAGCCTCCACACGCAACACCAGCTCAGGGTGCATCCACATTAGGGCCAGGGAGTTACCTCCTTCAGGAAAGCTCCACAGTGCAGCAGGAACCAGCCTGGGTCACCCGCCTCTCAGGTCAGGACTCCCAACAAGGAGAGGACATAGAGCATGTACACGACCATAGCTAGTGGACAGGCCATAGGGCACCCCAGAAGAAACAGAGTGGAAGCTGCTGGGACGGCACAGCAGGGTGGGGAGTGCTGCTGGCCCAGAGGCAACACAGTCAGGTGACCTAAATGCCAGGCCAAAACCAGGCGTGATGGAACACACACACTAGGACTTGGGAGGCTGAGGCAGGAGGATCACCATGAGTCACAGGCCAATCTTCGTGGCATGGTGAGTTCCGGGCCAGCTTGGACGGCAGGATGAAGGAACACGGGCCAGTCCAGCCCCTTCCCCGCCACAGGCTCTGCCACTCTACCTAACATGCTCCAATGCGAAACACAGAAGTATGATGACTACAAGCATCTGACTTCCCTTGGGCAGTGATGTCCTCCCTTGGGGCATGTGGCCACTGTCTCCCAAAGCCACCACACTGAAACCCAAGGCGGATGGAGAATTCATGCGTCCACAGGAAGGGTTTCCTGCCCAGGGCAACTGACTTCCGGCCATGGGTTTGGAGGACACCATTCACACACACATTGCTGGCCCCAGGGTACCGGGGTACCAGAGAAGCAAAGGATGAAGAAACTAAGGAGCAAAACAAAGGAGGACCAGAGGGAGGGAGGGAGGTGGTCCTGGGGAGGTCTGGGAGAGGAGGCAGAACAGAAAGGAGATGTGCCTGGCACCCACTCCCCATCTGGCGAGGTCTAGTAAGAAATAAAAATGGTGCCAGGCGTGAGGACACACACTTGTGATCCCAGCACTCAAGAGCCTGAGCCAGGTGGTTTGCTGTGAGTCTCAAACTGGGTTACACATCCTGGGTTACACAATCAGATTCTGCCTCAAAAAACCAAAACAATAAACAAATGAGATTAAAAAGTAAGCTAATGAGAACCAGAACCCTCAGACACAAACCATTCTATTTACTACTAGGAGAAAACATGCAAGTCATACACACTGATGTTGTAAGCAGCACCGCTCCAGGTGCCTCTGGAGTGGCCCTCAGGAGGTGGGGGTGGGGTGGAAAGCCCCAGCCTCTGGCTTCGGGATGGGATCCAGGGGGTGTGGGGTCCGGGTGCGGGGTGGGAACCCGCTGGCTGCCGCAGGTGCACCGGCAGGCCACGTCTCGAAGGTGTAATCATTAGCCCGGGTGGGTGCGTGCGTGAGCTCCCGGGCTCCAGCGCCACCCCGCCACCTGCGGCGAGGGCGGACTGGCGGGCAGGCAGGGCGGCGGGGGCGGGGCAGGACGCGGCCACCCCGCAGCAGCGCAGCCCAGGGGCGTCTTGCCCTCCCTAATGGAGGCTTTCCTGGCGGTGCGCACCGCAGGGGACCGGTTAAGGTGACAAGGGTGCCGGGAATCCTTCCCGCCCCCTCCCTTTCCCAGAAACCCGCCCCCACCCCCTCTGGAAACAGGGGACTCTGTTGTTTTAGGTGTGGGAGGAGCCGGCGAATCAAAGCGCAGCAGGGATCAAAGTGTCCCCTGCGGCCCAAGGGCCTTGAGTGCAGCCGCAGCCAGTAGCTGGGACACCCACGAGGTCTGGGCCTGGACCTGGGCCTGTCTGCCCCAATCATCAGAGACATCTGGACAGGGATGCTCGTGGGCATGGTCCGCCCTCCTGGAGGGGGATGGAGGGGTCAGCGTGCGCCCCCACTCAAGTGACAGACTGTGCTGCCGCCCTTTCTCAGGGAGCCCAGGCCACTCTTCTGTCCTTCCATGGAGCGAGCACTGTCCTGAGAACCCATCCCAGTGCAGGCCGCAGGGTCCTGGCCTCCTCCCTCTCTCACCCCAGCACTGCCCCGCCTTGAGGACCAGGTCAGCAATGGGAGGGCTTTCTCATGACTCCGTGGGCGCAGAGGGACCTCAAAATGACAGTGGACCCACAGGAGTCCCTTTCTCAGCTTTCCTGGGCTGGATCTTGTGATCCTCCTGCCTCAGCCTCATAGACTGCCAGAGCACAGGTGTGCACTACCATACCGTTTTTACAAGGCCACAAGCTGTTGGGCGCCCCCTTCTGACCCTAACATCCTCATCTCCAGTTACTCCAAACCAGGTCCCCAGGGAGGCTGCAGGTGGCTATGGATCTTAGGGACACAGCCGCCCCACCCTGCCTCACACAGCTGCGCCCTGGGGCCTAACAGAAGCGGTTCCTTTCATCAAACAAAGCCACCAGTGTGTCTGCTGC